GGAGGGGCTCTGGGCACCTAGCCCTAGCAACACCTTTGGTTGATGTTTATTTTTTCTCCTTCCTTGGGCTGGAAACCAAGGGGAATCCAAGCAGCACCATGTGAAGCAAGATCCCAGGGGCTCTGAGAAGCTTGTTCCAGTGAGAGGTGACTCAGCACAGGCCTCAGAACCACAGGGAGTGTCCCGCAGCCTGGATTCTGCGTAGGCCTGTGCGCACTATGCGGGCCACCGTGGCTGTTACTGTAGGTCTCCTGAGGGGAGGTTTTGTCTCCTAGGAGCCCGAGGATGTCCTGGCCACCCCCCAGCTAATAAGTGGGTGGTAGGACCAGGGTCCTCGTTATGGTTTCATCTCTAAATAATGTACTTTCCCTTGAAGAAGCCCTTCATGTTTTGTCTGGATACGCAACCCTCCTTCTCTGCAGGCTCTTGTCAGTGCCATCTCCAGACTGGGATTTCTAGAACAGGTGTCATCAGGGCACTCCCAAAAGATGCCTCACTGCTTGTAAATTGAGCTGTCATCCTTAGCACAATGTGGTCCTGACCAAAATTTCTGCCTCATCACAACCCCCACTCCTTTATCCCACCAGGTACCCTGTACTATAGCCCAGGGTTTTTTTGGGTTTTTTTTACATCTTTATTGGAGTATAATTGCTTTACAATGGTGTTATCTGCTTTATAACAAAGTGAATCAGTTATACATATACATATGTTCCCATATCTCTTCCCTCTTGGGTCTCCCTCCCTCCCACCCTCCCTATCCCACCCCTCTAGGTGGTCACAGAGCCACCGAGCTGATCTCCCTGTGCTATGCAGCTGCTTCACACTAGCTATCTATCTTACGTTTGTTAGTGTATATATGCCCATGCCTCTCTCTCACTTTGTCACAGCTTACCCTTCCCCCTCCCCATATCCTCAAGTCCATTCTCTAGTAGGTCTGTGTCTTTATTCCTGTCTTACCCCTAGGTTCTTCATGACATTTTTTTTCCCTTAAATTCCATATATATGTGTTAGCATACGGTATTTGTCTTTCTCTTTCTGACTTACCTCACTCTGTATGACAGACTCTAGATCCATCCACCTCATTACAAATGGCTCAATTTCGTTTAGCCCAGGGTTTTGCAGCATGAACTGTCCTCAGAAGCATCGAGGACACTTGTTTTCTTAAAAAATAAATTTATTTATTTATTTTTGGCTATGTTGGGTCTTCGTTGCTGCACGCAGGCTTTCTTTAATTGCAGTGAGCGGGGGATGCTCTTCATTGCTGTGCGCGAGCTTCTCATCGTCATGGCTTCTCTTGTTGTGGAGCACGGACTCTAGGAGTGCTGGCTTCAGTAGTTGGTGGCTCGCGGGCTCAGTAGTTGTGGCTCACGGGCTCAGTAGTTGTGGCGCACAGGCTCTAGAGCGCAGGCTCAGTAGTTGTGGCGCACGGGCTTAGTTGCTCCGCGGCATGTGGGATCTTCCTGGACCAGGGCTTGAACCCGTGTCCCCTGCATTGGCAGGCGGATTCTCAACCACTGTGCCACCAGGGAAGCCCGAGCACACTTGTTTTTTAAAATGCAGATTCCTAGGCCTACCAGATCCATTGCTCCCGGGGCCTGGGAACCTGCTTTTTAATGATACCGAGGCTGATTCTTGTGCAGACTGCCATTTAAGAACTACTGCTCTGCCAAACCAGATTGCTATTTCATGACTATCTGGGCCCTCAGTGCCCTTTCTCATGCTGTTCCTCTTCCCAGAATGCCCTTCCTACCCTTCCCAGGCTGGTGCACTCTGCTCCTTCTTTAAGGTTTACCTCATGTTAGCTCTTTTGTGCTCCTTCACCCCAAATCTAGGTTCCTTTCTTTGTGCTCACACAGCCCCACTGCACTTTCTACCTACCTCTGCCCTAGAATTTTCATACTGTCAGGGTTGGTTCCTCTGCTTGTTTGTGAGTTCCATAAAGACCATAGATAATTCGTTTTTGAATTCCCGAGACCTAGCAAAGTACCTGGCAGACAGAAAGCATGTTTGCTGAATGAATGTGAATGAATGGAGACCAGGCTCCAGTCTAATTCAGAAAGGTATATTTAACCCATTTTGTAACTGACAGAGTCAGGATTAATCGTGCAGGTTTCCTGCTTCACAGTTTCAGTCTGTTTCTTGGTCTAAATATTTGGTCTACTCTTGAGGAAGCTACAGATTTACGTTTTGGCAAGAGCTATTTAGATTAGCCGTGAGTTAAGACTTAGAATTACTATTTTTTTTAAATCTCAAAATGTGATTCTGTCTTAAGCCAAGGAACTGCTCTCTCCTGATCGCTTTGAGGATAGAACTCACCGGACTTTTTCTCCACTTCAGATCTGTTCCTCAGGATCATCCATCTCATAATTCTTGACCTTTTAACTCTAGTGCCATACCTGCCACCTCAGCCAGGCACACCCTGGACCTTGTCATGACTGCTTCAGCTCAGAAATGCCACCATGCCAGTCTCTGGCCAGACCTTCCTTGTCTTCAGCTTACTCACTTCCCCCACTCCCAGTTCACCTGCTCTCTGACATCATGACTCCCTGATCTCTTTCCTAAGCCCCAACCCACAAGTAGCCTCCTTTCTTCTTCCCCTTCCACAGGGAGGTGCCCCTGCTCCCATCCCAGGCAGTCCATCGTCTGGGCGCTGGACTGCATCCCTCCCAATCCCTCAGCACTGCGTCGTGTCGTCACCTCCCTTTCCTCCATCTTCAGTCTCTCCCCTGCTGTTTTCCTACCACACATCAACACAGTCAAGCTCCTCTCACCTTTGTGGCTACCTTCCTCTAGCTATTAGTCAGTTAGGGTCTGGGACCAGTTCTGATTGTGTGGAGGTTTCCCCACACCACAAAGCAATTCTTGCTGGTGTCCTACAATTCAACTCAGTTCTGACCCTATCTACCCAGAGATAGCATCAGATCCCACAGGTTAAGGGCTCAGTCCCACAAGACTGCCCACCCACCTTCAGATGCCAATCGAAAGCCCAGGTTGTGCCCTGTGCTTCTGTCCAACTGGCTGTAAGTCAGAGGTTCCCATGACCCCCTCCTTCCTTGGGTTTGATTAATTTGCTAGAGTGGCTCACAGAACTCAGAGAAACATTTTACTTATTAGATCACCCGTTTATTTTAAAAGGATATAACTCATGGATAGCCAGATAGAAAGAGATGTTCACCAACCTGGAAGTGCTCTAAACCCCATCCTTTTGGGTTTTTATGGAGGCTTCATTGTATAGGCGTGATTGATTAAATCACTGGCCATTGGTGATTGATTCAACCTCCAGCCCCTCTCCCATCCCCAGAGGTCAGCGGCGTGGAAAGTTTCCACCCCTCTAAAAACATGGTTGATTCTCCTGGCAGCCAGCCGCATCCTTAGGTGTGGTCCAAGAGACCTCATTAACAAAAGACATCTTTATCACTTTCATCACTTAGGAAATTCCAAGGGCTTTAGAAGCTCTGCCAGAAACATATGAAGACCAAATATATATTTCTTATTATAAATCACAATATCACAGCAATCTTTCAAGTTCCCTTCACAGCATAGCTTATCAAGAGTAGGCCTAATTTGCTACCCACTCATTCCCAACCCAGTTTCTGTCCCCACCATTCCAGTGGTTCTTTCCAAGATCCCAGGTACTCCCAGCCTCCTAACTGTAAAATTCACTGAGCAGTTTTTAGTTGCTATTTTGCCGGCACTTTGTGTGGTATTTGACACAAGGAGCCACTCCTTTCTTCTTGAATCTCTGTTCTTCCTCGGTTTGCAAAGCACTCTACTTACCACCGTCTTTATGGGGTCCTTTTCCTATTCTCAGACGTCAGCAGTCCATACCTTTCCTTGTTTAGCCCTTCTAGCTTCTTGTTTTATTCGTTCCCTCTGATATACCTCATATAATCTGAAGCTTGCCACTTGGTATGCAAGACATCTGAACTTTAGTAAAATGAGAGTTGTCATGAAAAGTACAACATAGGCATGCAAAGGGCTCAGCAAAGTGCCTGCCACAGAGTAGAGACTCCCTAAATGGTAGTCCTTTGTATTATTATTGTTAATAATAAAATAATGTCTTTATCTCTGCCCTATAGGTTTACATCTCTCTTTATCATTATTATTTTTTTTAACTTACCTAATGGGTTTATATTTGATATATAGTACTTCTCACCGTGGAGATGTTACCAGTTAATATAAAGATTTCTTTGGTTTTGTTAAACATTAAATCTCTTCTCCATTTCAATGTCAACATAAAGTATTTTTTTTACATTAAATCTTTTCTCCATTTCAACGTTAGATACATCGAATACATTTTCTAAACGTTTCCCCCACAAAGAGATTTGGGTTTTTTTTTTTTTTTTGCAGTACGTGGGCCTCTCACTGTTGTGGCCTCTCCCGTTGCGGAGCACAGGCTCCGGACATGCAGGCTCAGCGGCCACGGCGCACGGGCCCAGCCGCTCTGCGGCATGTGGGATCTTCCCGGACCGGGGCACAAACCCGTGTCCCCTGCATCGGCAGGTGGACTCTCAACCACTGTGCCACCAGGGAAGCCCAAAGACAGAAGTTTTAATTTTTGACCAACTGTATTTAATATCTAGGTACAATATTAACTTGGGAGATAACAACACAAAAATCCATTAAAAATATGGAGAAAAGACTCCTCAATGATGCAGGAGGCAGTGATTATAACTTAAACAGTGGCAATTTCCCAGGATTCTGGGCAAGAGTTTTCTTCTTCCTATTGAGAATTCTGAAACTATGAAATATGCAAAGTTCAGCCATCTCACTTCTTTGACCTTCTTTCTAAGGTATTTTTCAGTGCATTATTTGTTGTGAAGAAAACGTTTTGTTTTCCATTTAACATAGTATATCAATTTGTTCCTATTTATAGGGAAATAATCAAGACTATGAACTACCCTATTTACTGTTTCTTGGGAACTTTCAGTGACCAAAACTCAGTTCTGAACCTCAATAGCACAAAGGTTTTCAGGGCAAGGTTTGATTCAGGAGGCCCTTCAAAGTCTCATCCGTCCATTTCTCTTTCGTACATACACCCCCAAACAAGCACAAATGCCTGTAATGCTGAGAACCACACCGAGCAAGAGAGCGATTGCATCTCCGGCTTCTACTGCTTCAACAACAGGCAGCACCAAAAGCAATGAAAAGAGAACTAGGAACAATTGGGTTGAAACTGAGATCATGATGTTGAGATCTTGAGGTGACTGGTTCTTAAAGGCTGAAGGTTTCAAAGAAAGTGGTATTTGTTTAATTTTATCAGTTCAGGATGCTGAGGCTAAGAGGTTCCATGTGACAGCACCTTCAAGGAAGCAGCCATTACTGGAATGGCGAGCAGGGCTATTATTGTTTTTTAAACTTCTTATTATGGTGATTTTTGACTGGTCCCCAGAGTAGACAGAATTGCACAAAGAATCTCTGTGTACCATGCCTCAGCCCTAACAACCATTGCCCCATGGCCAGCCCTGCTCCATTCACCCATATTTTCTACAAAAGATACAAACTTTAAAAAATAACCATAATACTATTATCATACTTAAAAAAATATCCAACCTTCTGAGATCAATTTGTAGTGTATCTGATTCCTTTAAGATATTGCCACCTGGATATTCTCCAGGTACTTCAAACTCAGCTTGTTCAAAGCTGAACTCACCACCTTCTCAGAAACCTGTTCCTCCCCCACCAACTCTGTGGGCCCTGTCTTGGTGATGGACACCACTGTTCATCACTCCCTCAGGTCAGGACTTTGGGAGTAGCGTTTTGGGGCTCCTCATTCTTCCTGACGCCCCATCTAGCTAGCCACTCACCTCCTAGAGATCTCTAGTGTCTGTCCCCTACGTCTCCCCTGCCACTGTCTTACATTATCAGGCTCTTATTGGGTTCTTTGCCCCTGGGCATTAGCTTTTTAACTGGTCTCCTCATTGAGTTTTCACCCGCTAATCTTTTAATGCTATTGCCATAATTTTTTTGTGGTAAAATCCACATAACATAAAATTTACCATTTTAACCCGTACAGGTAAGTGGCATCAAGTATATTCACATTGTTATGAAATCACTACCACCATCCACCTCTAAAACTTTTTCATCTTCCCAAACTGAAACTCTGTACCCATTAAACAGTAACACTCCATTACCCATCTCCCTGGCTCCTTCCTGGTAGCCATAATTCTACTTTCTGTCTCTGTAAATTTGTCTACTCTAGGTACTTCATACAGTATTTGTCCTTTTGTGGGTGGTTTATTTCACTTACCACAATAAGGTTCCACCTTGTAACATGTACCAGAATTTTCTTCCTTTTTAAGGCTGAATAACATTCCATTGTATATATGTACACCACATTTTGATTATTTATTCGTTCGTCACTTGGGTTGCTTTTACCTTTCAGCTATTATGAATAATGTTGCTATAAACATGAGTAGACAAATATCTCTTTGAGACCCTGCTTTTATTTTATTTATTTATTTATTTATTTTTTGTGGTACACGGGCCTCTCACTGTTGTGGCCTCTCCCGTTGCGGAGCACAGGCTCCGGACGCGCAGGCTCAGCGGCCATGGCTCATGGGCCCAGCCACTCCACGGCATGTGGGATCTTCCCGGACCGGGGCACGAACCTGTGTCCCCTGCATTGGCCGGCGAACTCTCAACCACTGTGCCACCAGGGAAGCCCGAGACCCTGCATTTAATTCCTTCAGGTACATACCCAGAAGTGGAATTGCTGGACCATATGGTAATTCTATTTTTACTTTTTTGAGGAACTGCCCTACTGTCTTCCACGGCAACTGCACCATTTTACACTCCCACCAGCAGTACACAAGTGTTCCAATTTTTCCACGTTCTCATCAACACTTATTATTTTCTATTTTTTTGATTATAGCCATCCTACTGGCTATGAGGTGATACCTCATTGTGGTTTTGGTTTGAATTTCCCTAATGATTAGTGATGTTGAACATGTTTTCATGTGCCTATTGGCCATTTGTATATCTTCTTTGGAGAGAGATCGATTCAAGTCCTTTGCCCATTTTTGAATCAGATTGTTTTTTGTTGTCCCATTGCATGAGTTGCCCTTTTTCTCTGTTAAGAGTGTACTTTGATGCATAGAAGTTTTCAATTTTGATGTAGTCCACTTTATCTGTTTTTTCTTTTGTTGCCTGTGATTTTGGTATATCCTCCAATAACCTTTTAAATACATACATTTATATCCTTCCACTGTCCGTTTATAATCCTGCTATGGTTCCCTCTTTTAAACTCCTTAATGATCTAGTCTCTACTTCTTCAATCTCACCTCTTGGCAATAGCTCCACCCAAATATACTTATCAAGTCACTATGAATTACTGCATAGCTCTGAGCATTCACCATTCTTTACACTGGCTGGTTCCACTTTCTCTCCCTCTTCGTTTTTCACTAAACTACCTTTCATTCACCTTTTAAGACTTCTTCAATACCTCCTCCTCTAAGAAGACTTCTTTGACTTTTCCCAGAGTTAGGTGCCTTCCTTGTCTTTCCATTGTTGACATTTACTGTAACACTTATCAGAATGTGTTTTAAATGTTGGCTCACCTGTGTCCTGTCCCTCCAGGTAGACTGTAAATTCCTTAAGGGCAGGGCCCTATCCCTGTCTTGTCATCTGCGTGCTGCTCAAACTAAGTTGAACAATTGAACTGGAATCTCTGCCACTGTTCAGTTGTTTTGACCTTGAGAAAACTAGTTAAACTCCCTGGGTCTCAATTTTCTCATAAAATCATTAGGATTTATTGACATTATATTTGTAAGGTGCTTGGTGCTTACTCTGGCCCAGAGTAAAAGCTCAACAAAAAAAGAGCTGTTATTATCATCAACTTGTTGAATTGATATCTCAAGCTCTAATCAGTTGTATGACTTCAGACAAAATTCTTAAACTCCCAGGGCCTCAGTTTTTCCTTCTGTAAAGTGAGGTGTTTGACCTGGATCCTCTATAGCAGTGGTTCTCAAACTAGGCTGCACATTGCAATCATCTGGGGAGCTTTAAAAATACTGATGTCTAGGTCCCTCTCCTAAATATGCTGATTTAATTGGTGTGAGGTACAGCCGGGCAAGGGTATCTTTTAAAAGCTCCCCTGGTGATTCTAATGTTTAGCCAGAATTAAGAACCACTGATCTAAAGTTTCTTCCAGATATAACACGTTGATATAACAAGTTGAGCTGCCAGGATTCTTTGGAGGCCAGGGGATGGAATGTCTCCCAGCATTCTTCTGCTATCACTCTTTGTTAGTTTAGCAGGAAGCATTACTGAACAGGCTCACTAAGCTGGAATTCCAAGAGTATTTGTGGATTCCTGAGTGTTTATACTTAGCAGCTCCCTCCATCCTGGAGTGACCTGGGGGACCAGAGCTCTGAGAAAGAAAAAAATTGGCTTCTCCTTACCCCACTGCTCTAAACCAAGGCCCTGGAGTCTACCCTGGAATGCTGTACTGTGGAGTCCTCGTCAGGCTGGAGGGAAAGATCCTTGGTATAAGCTTTGTGGGGAAATTTGGGGCCCTGACTAGAAGGGGGTGGAGGCTGAGAGTCACAAATATGCATTCCTTTAGGGTGCTTTAACACTACATTCACAGCCACTACTTATATGATTCCCAGAACAACCTTGAGAAATACAAAGCAGGCATTACTGCCCCCATTTTGTAGAAGAGAAAAACAAGTCTCTAAATGGTTGAGGACTTCACCAAAAATTACACGGTTGGGTTAGCAGCAGGACCAGCATGACAGCCCCTGTGTCCTGACTCCCCAAGCTGGCCTCTCTCACTATGTCTGCACACCCAGTGTGAGATAATAGAAAACAAATATTGGTCTCTTCTCCTGGTTCCTGGCACAGAGCTCCCGAAACCCTTGGAGTTTCCTGGGTGATGGGAGTGTTTTTTGTTCTAATGAGGCGACTCTGGGTGGGGTCCTGAGTGACTCCTGGATGACCTGACTGGATGACCTAGCTGGAAGGACCAAACCATGAGTAGAAGCTTGGAATTTTCAGCCCTGCCTCTCATTCCCTCAAGAAGGGAGAAGAGCTGGTAGTGGAGTTAATGACCAGCTATGCCTATGTGATGAAGTCTCCATAAAAATCCCAAAGGTATGGAGCTCAGGGAGCTTCCAGTTTGGTGAACACACGCAAGTACTAGGAGGGTGATACACCCCGCATTCAATGGGACAGAAGCTTCTGTGCTCGGACCCTCCCAGACCTCACCTTATGTATCCCTTCATCTGGCTGTTCATCTGTATCCTTTAATAAATTGGTAAATGTAAGTAAGTGTGTCTCTGAGTTCTGTGAGCTACCCTAGCAAATAATTGAATCCAAGGAGGAAGACGTCATGGGAACCTCCAATTTGTAGCCAAGTCAGACAGAAGATATGGGTATCCTGGTGGCCTACTACATGTGATTGGCATCTGAATCTTGGTTGTGGGGATGGGGGGAGGGGGAAGTCTCGTGGGACTGAGCCCTTAACCTGTGGTATCTGATGCTGTCTCTAGTAGATGGTGTCAGGATTGAGTTAAATTGTAGAACACCCTGGTGTGTCACAGAGAATTGCTTGGCGTGGGGGAAAACCCCACACCTGTGGTGTCGGAAGTGTTGTGAGTGTGGTAGTGGTGTGAGAGCAATGAAACACAGATGGAAAGACTGAGGTTTTATCTAAAACACCCAGGTAGCTCAGTCTTTCTTGGCTCCTTGGAGTTGGAGCTGTGGTTCTAAAAGGCCCCATCAAATGCTACCGCGAACAACTGACATAACTCTGCCCAATTCCCCTGTGATCCCTCGCTTCTGAGCATAGCAGTGTTAAATGGGATCATTAGCAAATGCCTTCAGTTCTGCACTTTGGGGTGTTCAGTACTAGCTTTGAGGCTTGGACACCCAGGGAGGTGTTTAGTTATAATGGCCCATGTGTCCAGGGACACTCACAAGGGTCTGTAGAGCACTGTTAGTCAAATGCAAATGCTGGGTCACAGACAGGGGTTGGCCCTTGGCCACTGGCTCAAGATGAAATGGAAAAACCAGAACAGGGTAGTGATTTTTTTTTTTTTTAACTAAGCTCAATTTAATTTAAAGCCCCGTCTTTTTTTTCTGAGATTATGTCTTTCCTACTTTTTTTGGTCTTAAAATTACCTTTCATAAAATAGTGGTAATGGTAGATGGCAGTTTATTTTAATGTCCTGAATGGCATAGTTAAAATAGCCACCCTACGTGAATTCCCAAAATTGCTTTTCAAATGTTAGTGATCCA